CATCTTCAGTCAACATTTTATGGGTGTCATCAGTTTCCTCTTTCTCGATGCTATCATCATCATCAATAAAAAATGAGATCATTTACAGAATAATGATAACAATAACCCATGACTTAAAGGAACCAACCATCTAATGCCATTACAGTAATAGTGTTTGATTTTATAACGTCTTCATATCACAACTATAAACCACTTGGGTACCCATGTGGGGAATCAAACCCACATTCTAACTGTGAAAAGCTGATGCCTGAACCATAGGGCCACCCACTGCTCTCTTCAAGTAATAAATAATAATAATCATCACAAAAGTGTTATTGAAAATTCCTTCATGAAATATAATGCCAATCACAATCCTCACAATAATATTATCAAAATTTCCCATCCAAACCATTTCAAATTTTCATACAAAACAAATGAAACTATCATCATTATGATCACCATCAAATGAAATGTCATCATAGTTACAAAAATGCCAACCTTTTTCTCTATAAATTTGTAAATATAAATAATCATGATTTTGACATTCATTTCGAACTGACAATTCTTCCTCAACCATGTGCATTCATACACAACATAAGAACTAAAGCGTTCATTTCCCTCTTAAAACACTAAAGTGGTTCCAACAGCTTCATTCCTTTCGTTCTGCCATGTTTGTTGGACTCACTGAGGAGAGGAAGAACACCCTTAGCCTCAACAACTGACACAAGTGGATGTGCTACAACATGTACGCTAACTGATCGCAGAGCAACTTTCAGCACAACCAGGCATCAGGAAGCAATAGCGCCCTCACAATAAAACTGTAAATGTCCAATCATGTTCACAAGTTCAACTCTCTAAGACTCTTGAAACTTGCTCCACTCTAAAGCAAATCTGTACATGTACTTCACTACTTCCTGATTAACAATACCAACACTACAATGTAAAAAAATGTCACTTCGATTCTAGCAATAAAATTCTTCCTCAGAACTTTTCAATCTTGGCTTGAAAATATTATGTCATATTTTCATAAATCTAGCCAGTTGTTCAATATTTTTTTTTTATGCACACGCCCAGTTTAATCTTCAGGATATAAATAATCGAACCGGTATGTATATTCGAAAATGAAAACTCACATTCTGTTGGCACAGACAATATCCAGGTCAGCGATGTTAAAGAAATCGACAGCAGGGCCAGACAACTGGTAATTTCATATTCATACGTCAATATTAGTCCAAATCCTGCAATTTGCGAAGCCAAGGCTGGGAACCTGTGATACTGACGACTGATTGACGGCAATAAGCACCAAACTGACAGCATAAAGCCCCTGATTCAACATGTACATGACAGTTATGCAATTCTCTTAGCTGAAATGGACAACATAAAGCCCATATCAGATTGAAGCTCCCACGAGTCAGGACGACTGTAACCTGTATTATACATTACAACATGGAGTAACATCGATAACAACCGGCAGATATCTGACGCAAGATGGATCAAATACATTTCACTTACATAAACACCTTTCACAAAATGTGTAACATTTGCCTGACCCTTGCCAAAGTGGTATAACACTCATATTAACCCCCTGGGCATGGTTTAAGTGATACTTACATGAAATAAACATATGTAATAACACTTTGAACCAGTCACTCTGGACTAATTAGCTGGATCTGTTATGTACTTAATGTGCTATTGACATGTAATAGACCTGAAATGTCATAATCATTCATGACATGTTTCCACTCTTGCGATAATGGGGATTAGGAGAATTTACGGATTTTAGCCTTAAATTCCGTGGGCAGCATCAATGTTTGCAACAAAACAAATACACATATTTTTTTCATCCGGTATTTTATTTAAAAATTAAACTTGTAGCATTATAGTTGGCAGCTTTGAAGTGCAAATAGTGCAAATCACATTGGAAAAAAATATGTACACCTGTGAAAGACAATATAGAATAAATATGAAATATCTATTGACACACATATTGCCCCTGAGAAAACATGTTGCCAAACTCCAAACCATCAGCGGAGATTCATTGAAAGATTAATTTTATATATGATCTGACAGAAGTGCCAGTTCTAACCTTACAGAATGGAAACCAATCCATTCTTAAATTTCAAAGATCAAGAGCCAAAAAAATTGGCTTCCCTCTTGAATCGAAATGGAACAAGTATCTAATTGCAATGGATCCATTACAATACAATAACGAATTTTTAGGAACTAAAATCTCTGCCATTAAACAGGAATCATTTTGATGAATTAAAAATATATGAGTGCTTTTCTCATTTGTTCAAAGACAAGGAAATAGAAGATTACTGAGAAATAAGATATTCAAATTTATCTGCTACATAAGTATATGCTGAGAAGGGAAACATATGGCAAATAATCTTCCAATTATATTTGTCTTAGCCGGAAATTCTAGATAGGAATGAGAAAGTCTGAAGGTAACTTGACCAGAGTTATGTAGTGTACACTTGTGCAAATCCTAGAACAGCTCTTTCTCTAAAATCTTTCTTTAAAACTTTTCCCATTCTCCTTTCTTCCACCATCTTGTTTTTAGACTGTCTATACCTAACATTATCCACCAAGTCTTGTCTGCTTGCCCCATCACCAATCATCCTTTTCCCGACCTTAAAACATCTTGACATCATATTGATTTCTATTTCTCCACCTCAAAGCATTGTTCATGTCATACCACCTTTCATTTCCCCACCTCAAAACATCGTTCATGTCATACCACCTTTCATTTCCCCACCTCAAAACATCGTTCACGTCATACCACCTTTCATTTCCCTACCTCAAAACATCGTTCACGTCATACCACCTTTCATTTCCCCACCTCCAAACATCGTTCATATCATACCACCTTTCATTTCCCTACCTCAAAACATCGTTCAAGTCATACCACCTTTCATTTCCCTACCTCAAAACATTGTTCACGTCATACCACCTTTCACTTCCCTACCTTAAACCATCTTGACATCATATTGCCTTTTATTTCCCCACCGCAAAACACCCTTCATGTCATACCACCTTCCATTTTCCCTCTGCAACCATCTTGACATCATATTGCCTTCTATTTCCCCACCTCAAACATCCTTCACGTCATACCACCTTTCATTTCCCTACCTCAAAACATTGTTCACGTCATGCCACCTTTCATTTCCCTACCTCCAAACATCGTTCACGTCATACCACCTTTCATTTCCCTACCTCAAAACATCGTTCAAGTCATACCACCTTTCATTTCCCTACTTCAAAACATTGTTCATGTCATACCACCTTTCACTTCCCTACCTTAAACCATCTTGACATCATATTGCCTTTTATTTCCCCACCACGAAACACCCTTCATGTCATACCACCTTCCATTTTCCCTCTGCAACCATCTTGACATCATATTGCCTTCTATTTCCACACTTCAAACATCCTTCACGTCATACCATCTTTCATTTCCCCACCTAAATAAATCCTTCATGTTATAATGCCTTCCATTTCCCCTACTCAAACCATCTTGACATCATACTGGTTTCTATTTCCCCATCTCAAAACATCCTTCACGTCATATTGTCTTCTATTTCCCCACGCCAACCATCTGACATCATATTTCCCCACCTCAAATCACAGTCAGTTTGTCTTGTAGTTTATTCCCTACCCCTAACTGTCCACAATCTGCCAACTAACAACACCACTTGTATCTCTTTATCAAACCCCTAAATTTAATGTTTCAAGCCCAATCTACATCTACTGGAATTTCATCAACATCACCCTACAGCCTGAATTCTTTCTTTTGTCAGTTGACACACAGAGAAAAATATTATCTTGCTGGAAAAACATGCAGCCATGATTGTAACACGGAAGTCACAAACAAGCCAATTCTTCCTAACTCCCTACTGGAATAGGCATACACATAAATCATAGAAATACACGTTTAGCCTTATTAATAACCATAGTTCACCATAATAATAGCCCATGCTATGTTAACTGCTGATGAAACACGACCTCGGTTTAAGTCAACATAGCCATAAGAGCAAACACACATACACATCTCATTGGCACTTACTATCGACACACCAATAACACGACAGGTGAATGGTTGCTCTGTCTGATACCATTCTACTTACCTGCAATGTACCAGCCATTAAGAGCAAAAGACGAGAATATGTTTCATCGCATGAACGATCAAAGACAAATTATTGGATTGGGCTATTACAGTCAATCGCCCATAGCAAGATTGAACTGAGAATAGCTGAGAAAGTCCAGTTATGTACAGATGAAAGAGTGTATGTTGGAGGGTGGAGATGAGTTATAATAGTAATTGACATGCTCATGTGGACATTAATGCTTTGAGACGACAGATATTAGCATGTAGAAAAGCATGATTTGTTTAATATTAGAGAATTTATTTTTATAACATAATTTATTTACTGTACACATGTGATGTAAAAGCTTGTTATCATTCATGCAGCTTTTTTTCAAATTATATTAGATCAAAAGATTAGTGATTTTATCATCACTAATGTTTTATCTGTAGAGGTAAATTAGGTAAGGTTGAATACAGGGTAAGCCATATGAAAAATGCAGAAACACTGTGAACAATAATGATTATTTCACACCGATCATGACGCATTCTAGACTACACGACAAAAGCTTTGCAACGGGATGAAAAGAAAATCACCAAAAAAGACAATCTGTCCCACTTCACTATACGGCTCCATAACTACAAAGCCCAACAATGCCAGGACTGAGGAAGCAGACGGCTTGTCCTCTGCGGTCAGCCATACAACACACTGGTCATTTAGTGGACACTCGAGCCGAGCAGGGTCAGCTTGAACCTTGCCATAGAGACGAGGAAGGGTGATTCACGCGCTAGCCCTTTCACACTCGAGTAAACATGGCTGATACTCTACACTCTTTGAACGCAATTTTCTGTTCATCCCCATGTCAATGTCAGAAATGGACGCGCAATACACAACAAAACAATTGCTATCTACGACGGACAAAAACTCAGCACCTACCTGGTCATCTTCACTCTCACTTTCACATTCAGGCTGAAAGAGTATGAGACAAAGCTCATTAATATTCACGGAGCACAGTAAACAGGGCAAAGCATGATGGGTAAAGCTGACCTGCTAAAATATTGATCAGCTTCTATCGGCCTGCAATTGGCGTAACACGGAGCTACGCACGGCCTCTCCAGTTGTCGGATAACATAGGAGCTCTTCATTTATGTCAACCATTTTCATCCTAATTGTTTGCCAACATCGGATGCAGTCGGATAGGAGGTCGGTGGTGTGATACTCTTCTATCTTGGTATGATTGATCTGTATCTATCAGACCCATTTACACACAAATAACCATTAATTTCGGACAATGAAGTCAATACTGTTTAGTGAATAAAGGAGCGAGATTGCAATATTGATGTGTTAAGTGTACTCCCTCGGTTTTGTTTTCATTATTTCAATATAGCCCGGTTATTTCATTAGTATATATGGATTCATAACAATTAAGTACTCAATAAGCAGTCCAGCTTTGGAGTTCTTAATAACAATTCTGTTGTATAGGAGAACATTCTGTACCATAAGCAAAGCTTTTATTTGTTTTGTCTTTTCCATTAAAGAAAACTTTGCCTTATTTGTTTGGATTTTTACATTCAAAAACACATTGTTCCTATCATAAACTTATTAATGATTTCAATTTTTTGTCACACGCCATTAAAAAGCTGGTAATAACTTATTGAATCTTTTCTTAAATATTCACCAGTTGTGTTAGTTTACACAAAACTATTTTTTTTGGTAGCGCTTTTCATAAGCCGAAAATATAATATCGCTAGAGTATTCATTCAATGTAAAAAAATCCTATTTCAATATAAGACAGAGAACCAAATAATTGGACGCCAAATCAAAGGTCAGAGTATTAAAAGAAAATACATCTTAAAGCCCATCAATTTAACTGACATGATTCATCTCTTAAAAATCAAGGAAGAAACTCGGCAAACTTCTTGACATAAAATGATTGCGGAATCAAACTGCGGCATATAAGCGAGATTGACAACATCGTCGTGGCTCCAATGTCATTTGTCAGACTCATATCAAAGAAGAGGCATTTGAAAACAGTAGCCACAATCATTCGGCTGCTCTCACTTCCATTAACTGGTATGCTTTACTGACAAACTATCAATTTTAATCTGATATTCAATATGGTTCTTTCTCTGATCTCAAATGATTACTTTCCTGGGTTAAAAACTTCGATCGGAACATGACAGCTTGAAAAGAATCTTACATTGATATTAGTATTGCTGATTGATAAAGAAGTCGTAAAAGCATGTTTTGTCGGACCAAATCATTTCTCAAACCAATACTTTAAATAAATTTTTACTTTGAAAGTGAAATTTCAGGCGCACATTAGATCTTTCGGTTGAAAGATGGAAAGTATTTTATAAAAATGTTTTTCGGTCATTATGATAGTTTTTACGAAGATTAAACAGTTTTTTTTAGGGCAGACAAGAAGTCTGATACTTGTGAACTGCTTGTCATAAAACTACTGACGTCAGTAATATGTATTTCTTCTCACAAATATCCAAAACAATGTTAGCAGAAGGCCATTGCTGTTTCAAAGTGAAAACAAAGAATCCTAGTGATTAAAAACTCTTAGCATTAGAACTCAGATAGTAATTATATACAATTCTATTGAAAATATCAGGATCTATTTCTTTTGAAAAAATCAGGATCCTTGCAGTTGGAAATTTGAAAAGGATGCTTACAGCCAAACACATCAATACGAGTATTTTTGCGAAATTGAGAATACTCATCAATAAAATCCACAATAAAAACCTATACTGGCTTACTGTTTGAAAACAGATCATCAACTAATGAACTTCTCATGTACACCTTGAGAAGTTGTAAATCGTTTTTCAGAGAGTAAGAACCGAATACCGTTATTTGGCACCATTCAGTAGATAAAGACCTACCATTAATTGAAACTACCATCATTGCTTTCCGAACTGGAGTACTTCATTTAAATCATATTTTCTAATTCACACCAACGGCACTTGATCTTGATATAGTAGACGTCAATTCATCAATTATCCCACCAAATACCAATAACATTAGTTAGGATCGTGTTCCCTTCAATTATCATCACCTAACCAGACCTTGCAAACATGGTCTCCTTTTGCGGGTTTGTAATGATCGTTTGGTCATGCCTGGCACCCACAACAACCAATCACAGAGCCATTCTCCTGCGCTTCCTGCCTTTGTCATGGCAACTCCCTGTACGACCGCCATATTACTTCCAGCCGGCAAAAAAAGCAATTACGTCTGCTCCTGGTGCACGGAAACGGACAAGTTTTCCAGAGTGGTGCAATTTCCTGCGATGTGATTGGTGTTTGGAAACGACTGTTTGAGTTTGTCTTGTCGCTGGCTGGATGTCTTCAAACGGACATGTCGGTGGTATAGTTGGTGCGAGATAAGGTATTATGACTAGGACAGTTAGGGTTGGGACAATCGATGCCTTCGCCGTCTGTGGAGTAAGTCTTCTTCGTTGACCTTGCTCCCTATGACCTTGCATCAGTTTTGACAACTCTGCCCAAATACCTCATCAATGGAATCATGGATCATGGAATCACAGATGTGTCTGTTAGAAAAACAAAGTCTAAGAGAGCTGATGGTGACCTTACAATGGGCAACAAAACTGGCAGCCCAAACTGCCATTTGTAACCAATATGTGCACACGATCTGCATCAGGAATCTAGGACCACATGGCCCCCTGTTAACCTTGATGGCTTCTTCAAATGAGTCCAGATGTGGTGATGTCCACATTAGCAAGTGTCCAAACTAACAAAGAAAGCATGAAATATATGAACATACATGATATTCATCCAAATATGTTTAAGTTGACACTTCCCAAGTAAGCATTAACAATATGTTTCAGGGGGTTGACTTCATAATTCAAAATTGGCAAGACTATTTTCAGCTAAAATAGTCTTTCATACGGAAGCGCCTTTGAGCAGGACACATCTGGATATTGGCGCTATATAAATCTCTCTATATTATTATTATTTATATACCTCAACTTTTGTTGAAACAATATCAGTATTTTTCCATTTTCAAAGAAATGAACATTCCTTGAATATGAAACAATTCAAATCTAAACATATATGTTTATTTGGCGGGTGGGTAGTTGGCGGTGTCCATTATGAAAAACTGAAAATATATAACCCCGAACTGGTAAAAAGCGTGGTTGATGTTATGACTATGAGCAAAGACTGCAGCCATTAGAGTATGATGAGACACTACTGAGTGATGGATGGAGCCAACTGCAAACTCCCAGAACCCACTCCAAAGTCTTGCGGCCAATTCCCAAGTCCCAGAACCTACTCAGAAGTCCTGCGGCCAATTCCCAAGTCCCAGAACCTACTCCGAAGACATGGAGCAACTCCCAAATCCCAGAGCCTATTCCAAGTCTCAGAGCCAACTACCAAGTCCTGGAGCCTACTCCCAAGTCCTGGAGCCTACTCCCAAGTCCTGGAGCCTACTCCCAAGTCCTGGAGCCTACTCCCAAGTCACGGAGCCTACTCCCAAGTCACGGAGCCCGGCACACTGACCCATGCCTTCTCCTAGTGTGATCACCATCAGTTGCTGGGAACCAGTTCGAACCCAGATTCCCCATAGGATGACAGTGAGTTTTGGAAAGTCACAAGGACTGTGTGAAAATTCTGCAGCTCACATATATTCAGTTATATTTTACATCTAAATTGGACACAAGCTTGTATTCAGCAATCTTTCACTAAGCAAAAATGGAGCCTTTAGTCTTTAATTCTGGGGCAAGTTGAGAGTTTCCAGTAGATGAATGAAGGTTTGGGCAATATGTCATCAATATCACTGCAGGAGACACCAGAAATGGGTTTCATTGAATTTGTACACGTTGGGAATCAAACAAGTAACATCGGATTGATGAGCAAACACTCTTACCACTAAACTACCCTGGAGCTGCACCAATAATTCAAAGGCCGATTGATCGAACTAGCATGCACCTTCCATATAACCACAGCTACATTAATGTGAACACGTGGGGGTCAACAGCCCCATTACTTGTGGACTAGATGGGCCATGTATCACAGTTATAAAACAGGCGAGTTTTAGTGCTGAGAAATGGGCCATTTGGGATTTGTTAAGGGTCAACGACAAGTGGTCATGATTAATTGAAAAAATGTATTAGCTGTTTCATGGACGACATTCATTAATCTACAGCATGAACACTATTAACCATTTAAGGAATTTCTCTTTACACTATAAAACATCTTTATTTCTTGGATGGTAATTAACTGAAAACACCTGTTAGTCTGAAAACTAATAAAATGTAACAGTACCCTCAATATATTTGAAATTCCCCTAGTCCTCAGGATACCCTTATCATATGTATCAGTATATATTTATATTTGTCTAATGAATGTTTTACAATTGTTTCAGGGTATTTAAATCATTTATGAGAAATACACTTGGCCTTTATGTGAACAACACCCCATGTCACGAAACAGTCTCGGTTTCAACAGGAAGAAGGGTTGGTGGGGTAGCCTAGTGGTTAAAGCGTTTGAGGTTCGATTCCCCACATGGGTACAATGTGTGAAGCCCATTTCTGATATCCCCTGCCATGATATTGCTTGAATATTGCTAAAAGCACCATAAAACAATACTCACTCACTTCAACAGGAAGAGGTGAGGTGAAATTGGGTTTAATGTCGGACTTGAGAATATTTCACTCATATGACGACGTGCATGTGTGTGTATGTGTATGTGCGGCTGCTTGTACTAGCCCAGACTTAAGCTGGTTTTATAGTGCTAGCCCACTGAGATACCATGCCGCAGTGAAGCATGAATACCCCACTCAGACACATTATACTGACTCCGAGCCGACCAGTCTTTGTTGTACCCATTAATGTCGAACGCCAGGCAGGGACCAACAAGTACCATATTTTAACGTCTTTTGGTATGACGCGGTCAGGGATCGAACCCGCGACCTTCCGCTCTCCAGGCAGACGCTCTAACCACTACGCCACGGAGGCGGTCCTCAACAAGAAGAGACGGGGAATAGGAAGAATAATGAACTTGTGCTCATTTCTATTCATTTGTAATTCAGCTTCTAAGCAATTGTAATGTCTAATACCAATTGTACTCCATACACAAAACTTCACCTGAGTCTCAGTCTATGGAAAGTACAAAACTTTCTATTCACATTGCGAAAAGCTTTAAAACAAACTTGCCCTTCCTGAATAGAGCAAACTTTTAACTTGACAAAAAAAATCCATTTCAGAAAAAGATCTCTCATAAAGTTTTGACAAGCTACTGTCATACTGTATATCCTCGGCAAATATCACCCGAAACCTCTAACTGAACAACATACATTGAGACAGCTATATGACAAGCAGAGAGAGGCAAAAACACATCTACAAAACAAAACGAAAAGAAGAGATATCAGTTTGTTTCTTGAATAATAATATCTGTCAAGCTCCGAGCATATTAACAATTCAAAGAACTTGAGTGTCAGATTTCAGCTTGCTATCTCAGCTGCTTTGTTGGTTATTTTCTTATGCATCTACAAAGTCTACATCAAACTTGAACAAGTCGTCAAAAAATACCCATCATATCCTGTTTTTTCCGAACCAATCGTCCTGAAGATTTGGTATGGAATATATTCAGAATGAGGAGAATTGCTGAAATAGATTGTTTTCAGGGCATTTCATGTGACATTGATAGACAGGATGACGCACAACTCATGTCGATTTCACTAACGCAATCAATTTCTTTCTCAAATTCACCACAAATATGTCAAATTTCGCTGAAATGATTGAAAAACAGCTGCTTTAATTCAATAAAATAAAAATACCCACTACGGACAAAAAAGACAGCTTTCCTGTTGAGGAATTACAAGAAACTGCCCCTTCGTCAATAGAGACCACTTTTACTCTCTAATCCCAGAACCTGTAGCTGAGATTTGTGAAATATTCCCTTCATTTCTATATTGAAAAGAACGCCACTTGCCGTCAGTGAGCACAGTTTGCTGTTAATATTATCCAATTGTCTTCGCTGGCTTGATGGCTCAAGAAAATGTAAGATGTTGCAAAAAAACAAGACAGGAGCCTACTTAAATCAGATGCGAGCTGAACAGAGCTCCTTGTTGGAGTGCAGGGAGTCTGCAAACACGTCGCAAGTAGACGGAATTGACGTACTTAAAGAAGACAAGTCCAAACAGAGGGTATCTGGGTAGAGGGGTTGTAGTACTTACAATGTATCCTTGCCCCGAGCTGGAGTGAGTACTGGCCTGAAATGAGAAGGATAGAATATAAATACCATTGCTTTTATTCTCAAGGCTGCAGTGTTGAACGAGTGTAGGATAGAAGGACTGTTACAAAGTTCTTCAATCGTAACTGCTTGAAAGCTCTTCCGAGTAGGAGTGGGTATGCCGCCTGAATCAATGAACTGGGTAGTGTAATTGCTGTCTTAATTTTGAAAGGTTGTTTAACTACCTCTTAAGCACTGCGTTCTCTTCAAGACAAACCACTGAAGACTAAGTGGAAAGCTGTCTTGGACGTGGTTTTTCGCTTGCTGCCTATCAATGAGCATGCCAAGATCGGAATCGGGTCAATAATTGAATTTCGACAGGAGTGCTTCACCCTTCAACTCCCCTTGTTCGTTATTCGAACTGCGAGTGTTGATATGGAGGGCACACATGCACAGAATTGAAGTCGTGCGGCCATGCTGGGGCCCAAACTGACTCGAACATGACGAAACAAACGGAGCCCTCATTTGCTGGGCGGCTGGGTGAGCGTGCCATGTTTTCAGTCTGAAAGCAAGGTATTGATTGATCGATGTCTGCAGAGAAGCATTCTGGGTAATTGATGAGTGTCCCACCTCTATGCTTTCAACAGAGAAATGTCCTGCGCGGAACAGTATCTTTCTGGACGATTTCGCCCAGTTACAGCCAAAATAATTACATTAATGCCCCTTGCTATTAATACCTCTCAACACATTCTCGTACAATGGAAACATCGCGGCAAGGGTTGGACGCATCCGATAGATGCTGTGAGATGTCGCTAGCCTCTAATTCCATCATTGGGAGCTGGTTCTCCCTGGTCAAAACATATCATGTCCGCAATCAATTTCACACTGTTTCCTCCATATTGTGAGGAAATAAACATTGCTGTCGGTCATAATTTGTTGGTGATATTTTCCCGATCAATAAGTCAGACGGGCATAAAATTCTGCATGGCCCTAATTAATTGTCAGCTCTCTCGCAAAATAACATATTGTGTGGAGATTACACTTTTCACAGACAGTAATTGTGGTCCATTATGCATTGTAACAAAGCCAGCAAGCTGGGAGATAAAAGACTGGGGAGAGTTGATAGATGTGACCCGACAACCCCTAAGGATAACAGCTTGCCCTTCTATAAATACCCTCTCTGCTGCAGCCTTGTACACAAACTTGGTAGCATACACTTCCACGCTGCATTTTACCTTTCATATTTTGTTTTGACACTTTAGTTTCTTCAGAGGCCATTTTGCTGTTGCCTATCACACTGAAATCATGTATTACAAAAACCAAAAAAAATCAAAAACGAATATGACAAAAGCTATATTCTTGACAACTAGTTTTGGCAAAGTTAAAAATATTATAAATTCATCAGAATTGAGAACAGCCAAGCTTACTAATTTATAACAAAATGCACTCACATGTATTCAAAACCTTTTTATCAAGGCCACCATATTTTCTGGACATTAAATAGAAAATAAACTACATGCTGTGCTGAAAGCTATCTTCCATGCAACTGTTCATTTTAGTATACATCAACGCTGTCCAGCTGTCAACGATGGCAACACACACTCTAGCAAATATATTGTCAGAAGAAATTGTTCATTTATAAGTGTAACAGCTAAAATGACCAATGTGTGTCACCTTAAATCAAAGTCGACTATTTTTCACCACATGTTGCCAGAATCTTTTTCAATTTGCCAACAATCAATGAACATATTGTGCATACGCTAAAATATTCTCACACCATTTCATTATTTTCCTGCACAGCTTTTGATGAAATCTGTTTTCAAATATCTTTATCAGCAAGATCAATAAGCACGCCCATATAATAATTCTCATGGGACACAGTGTATTATATCACATCAGGTCAACAACAGCGACAAATGAGTGAGTGAAACTTGAAGCAACTTAAAAGTCCAACAGCAACAAACAGGGACATCACAAAAGTGTTTGAGATCACCAAGATCATTCCTAGATGATGTTATAAAGATAAAAATTTATATCTTGGTTGTTGAATTTGCAGATTAAAAGACAAGATAGCTGAATGAAACGTTAAGTTTGCATACAAAATTACTTTAAGTGTCTATCCAGAGATGACTTATCGTTTCAGAAAGAAATGTTTTTTGATGATTTCAAATAGTATATCTAGCTATGCCACATTAACCTTCAAAAAGAGCTGGAAGTCCAGCTCAGGAAAACCAGCTGCATTCAAGAATACCGATGCATAATATCATGATGGTTATCAATAATATAGGGGAAATGAATATTTGGGGGGGACATTTTCAAGAAAGTGTGTGCTCTTTCTTCACTGCAAAAACAAATATTCATGATCCATATTCTTCAGTACATGCCATTTGCACACCAAAATACTAAATAGTTGAAATATACATGAAGTTAGCACGTCTGCTCCTGACGACCAAGCATTTGTAAAAACAAATTTCAAAATCTTCCATTTTTTCCAGCTTTTGTCTTGAAGCGGATGTAGATATATCCATGTGTGAACTCAATGTATATTTTAGCTGGTTGGTCTTGTGTGAATGCATCAAATATTCATTTGGAGCACAGCACAGTTTTCATTTTGTAACTACTTTCGATGGTAGGAGTGAGTGAGTGAGTGAGTGAGTGAGTGAGTGAGTGAGTGAGTGAGTGAGTGAGTGAGTGAGTGAGTGAGTGAGTGAGTGAGTGAGTGAGTGAGTGAATTGTAACCATTCTTTCCTCACGTCACTCAATCTGTCCCTTTGTGGGCCTGGGAATGAGGCATTGAGTGAGTGAGTGAGTGAGTGAATTGTAACCATTCTTTCCTCACGTCACTCAATCTGTCCCTTTGTGGGCCTGGGAATGAGGCATTGAGTGAGTGAGTGAGTGAATGAGTGTGTGAGTGAGAGAGTGAGAGGATGTGATAACCGTTCTTTACTCACGTCACTCAATCTGTCCCTTGATATACTCCTGGGAGGTCCATTCGTCTGTGGCTCTTCGTCTTCTGGGGCAGGGCTTCGGGTGTGGTCTACAGTTGGTGAGGGCTGATCACTTGTAGGGGATGGGGCGGTACTACAGTTCTGTAAAAAGACATGGCAATTTCAGGACAGTTCTACACAAGTTCCACATTGGAATATGCTTCAAAACAACAGAAACAACAGGCAAAAACAACATCGATGTTACAACTGCTCGTGGGCCGTATTTCACAAAGCGATTACAAAGCTACCACAAGTCCCACAGAGGAGGTGAGGTGAGGTGAAATTGGGTTGAACGTCGTGCGTGAGAATATTACGCTCATATGACGACATGCATGCGTGTGTATGTGTATGTGCGGCTGCTTGTACTAGCCCAGACCCCACAGAGGAATACTGAACTAATGCAGTCTTAGCGTTGAGATTGTTTTGAGAAAGGCGACCCTGCTCCTCAAAGCAACCGTAGCATTACATCTGTTCGGCCTTGCATAGTGAAACAAATATAGCAAACTGCTTCAAGCTTTGAGTGAATATTGTTTTATGGTGCAGACAACAATCTTCCAGCTATATCAGTGAGTGAGTTTTTGTTGCTTGTTTTTTTAGTTTTACTCCGCTTTTAGCAATATTCCAGCAATATCACAGCGGGGAACACCAGAAATAAGCTTCACACATTGTACCCATGTGGGGAATTGAACCCGGGTCTTCAGCGTGACAAGCGAACGCTTTAACCACAAGGCTTCCCCACTGCCCCTTCAGCATAACACAGTACCCATCTTAGCCACAAATCTTCAATATAATCAGATAATACAATCACTTGAGACATGCATACCCAGCTACTCAATAACCCGACCATCAATTCACAACTGACTCCCAGTGACCTCAACAAAAACCCCTTTCCCTCCAGCATCACCTTAAAAAGTGTTAACAAATAAAATAAAATAATAAAATTATTGAGCAGAACTTTTCACCACAGGGCGACCCAAATAACTCAAACTACCGAACAACCTTCACAGTAACTATTTAAGCCAACATTCCATCCCCTCAGCCTATCAGTTTTATACTGCACACCTGATAAAAAGCATCTAATGAGTCATAAACGGAGCAAATACTCAAGCATCCTTATCCCAAGATCTGCACCGAGACCCATGAAACTAGGAATTAACAAAACACCAACAAAACGGAAAGAAATGCTGTGCTCCTGTTGAAACCTGTTTCCACAATCCGTAGATCTACACCGAATGATGCACGAGTACTTAATCCGGAAGGTGAATACAGAAGTACATGACTGAATTGTTTTGTAAGCGGGCATGTATTTATACCACCCTGAGAAACAATACCAGGGGACCAAGGAACCAAACCAAGGGCTTCCATATGTGATGAGCGAGCACTATAACCACAACTGAGATCTTAATAGTCCACAGTGATCATTTTCCATCAAACTGGGGGTTGATAGTGAGAGACACACTTGAATAATTCATTGTCATCTTGTTCAGCAACACAAAAACAACCAGTGGTTATGATGATACTTCCTAATTCCAGAGCAGGTTGTTGGGGACCTAGATTCATTCCCAAAGTGAGTGAGTGAGTTAAGATTTAACGTCACATCGGCAATATTTCAGCCATATCGTGACGACATTCCCAAAGTGAGGGACGAGGGTGGGGTAGGTAACTTAGTGGTTAAAGTGTCTGCTCATCATGATAGGTACAATGTGTGAAGCCCATTTCTTGTGTCCCCTGTTGTGATATTGCTGGAATATTGATAAAAGCGGCGTAAAACCATACTCACTTGCCCCATCATGAATTTCACAGGCGTTGTTGTTGAAAAATTGCATTTATGACAGTAAGTTCTTATGAATCTGTCATTGCCATTTTGTTACGATAAAAAATCTCCTTTGAATTTGAGGCCAAATGGACTATGCTTGAAAACAAACAAATCACAGAAATGATTGTCAAATTAGGCCCCTTAATTACAGTCCAGGCCCCACTCTCACAGTCACAGGACATGAATATTCATACACATCCACTCATTTGATGGCAAATTGCTTCTTTTGTGTGGTATAAGAGACCTGCAGGTCAAACAGGGCAATTAATAACCAACGGGGCAACAAACAGACTTCAGCAATACTACTGCAGTATAATCTGTGAAATGAAAGCTTCAGCATGTGGCTGATACAACCCTTTCTTCAAACAAACATTCATTGCTGGACACAATTTCACAAATATCTGAATTAGTGAGTTTAGTTTTACAATGCTTTTAGCAACATTCCAGCAATATCACGGCAGGGACACGAAAATTGGGCGTCACATATTGTACCCATGTTGGGAATCGAACCTGGGTCTTTGGCGTGACGAGCGAATGCTTTAACCACCAGGCTACCTCACAGCATTATCAAAGCAAAAGAGACACGGATTTCTAACTCAGATAGACAGACTATTAATGTCACAAACACATTAATAAAAATGTTCTTTTCTTTTATAAATTGTATCCAAAAGACATCCAAAAGATAAAAACATCCAAAAACATCCAAAAGATATCCTGATATCAAGACAGATACGATATCGCAGTGGACACAAATATTACCTTCACCCCACCCAAAATCAGCATTTCTTAACAAGACCTCCTTAAAGCAGTCCCAAGAAACAGAGGAACAATTATCGACAAGCGAAGTGTTATTCGGTGTCGGATGATCGAGGCACAACAAAACGTGAAGCCATTAATTGAGCCCCGAGTCGTGATCTGTTGGAAGCACTGCAGGGAAGATGCAATTAGATTAGTATGCACAAATACAGACCCCAACAATTCATTGCTCGCTTGTTATCGCCCATTATCACTTCAATTCCTGAAAACTGGTGTTTTTGGAAGTCATTCGGTTCCCAACGGAATGTGATTATTCTGATAATAGTAATAAAATTGCTTCCCAGCAATAGTATGCATCTCTAGGGCACTGAAGCGCTGGCCCAATCTGTTGCTTATCAGCCGAATAGCACCCCTAGGATTCGTAATCTATACCCATAATGCAATATTGCACATGGAGGTTAATGCAGAGGGTGCTGGTATTTCATATGCATTTTCATAGCTGTGAAATCCATTAATCATTCTGTAACCCAAGGCTAGGCTGGGGGATCCCACTGATCAAAACTACATCAAATATTCATTACAAAGCCAGGACACGGCCAATAGGGAAATGTAGATTGAAGACATATTTAAAACAGATTGCACAAGGTTTACAAATAAAACAAACGGTAGTGTTTAAGTAATACATTTTAATGCTGAAGAACGGAATTCTTCAACGGTAAAATACGCAGCTGTACCAACTTGAAGCGAGCAACCATTTTGAATCATTCTTTATGCCCAAGGGAGAGAACTCCAAACCGAACAAAACATATGGGTACTTTGCACTGCACCATTTGAAACATCCACCGGAGATAAAGCTTAGGAGTAATTTCAAACAAAAACATAAAATTACAAATCTTTGAGCAAATACTTTCAAACATTTACACAACTTCTAGATGTAGAGGTTCAGTTACAAGAATTAGACAATTTTATCATCCAATAGGGTGCAATATGCTAGCAACAAAACACACATCGAAAGTCGCTACTTTACCATGAGATGCTGAAACACGACAGACGGTTAAATCCACATGGACAAGACAAAGCGAGTCGTTCCATGTCAACGCATCAAACATCCTTCCATAAAGTGCTAGTCCTACTTCGTAGAGAAATATTAACACTTAAAAAAATAGTCATATAATCTCCAAATCCGTCCACTTTACAGCTCATGAGAGAACCACCGAGCAAGCCTTACCTAACCACGATGCTAAATGCAAAATGGCGTTCACAGGCTATTAAGTCCGAGAGAGCATGAATATTCACATTAGCACAGAAACCAACGAGATAGGGCTCGATTGCTTTGATCATTCTATAAAGCTTGAATTGGGCAATAAAAGTGTGCGAAATCTCATATGTTTAAAACGTGTGGTTTTAAAACAGCAGAGCAAAACACTTGCATTCAAAGAAACGACCTCAATAAAATCGTTTTCGGACTTCTTTACAAACTGGGTCCCTGAAGCCTGCCTGTAATCTGCATATAAATTGCACATGTTAAATCACAGACTTTATCAAAACAAGATTGGGCTATAAAACTGCCATAAATCCACAGCAATCCCCATAACTGCATGCCCCATGTGTACAAGGGTTAGGAGAGCCAGCGATACCATGAAAAACATCATTCGGCACAAGGGAAATCATATAGTTCGTCTTTCATATTGATGACATGTGAAAGCATTCAATAAACAAACACCCCCCAAAAATAGAGCCTATACATAAAAAATAAATCTTAAAAATATATAAATAAACACAACAGATGAGATCATGTTGTCTAGTTTGTCATCTTTATGTAAGTGTAATTTTCAAACTCTATCAATAATGAAATGTCATTAGGCACAAGGGAAATCATAAAGTTCTTCCTTCATATTTATGACATGTGAAAGCATTCAATAAACAAACATACAAAAAAAATATACCTGAAAATAAAAATAACAAATATTGAAAAGATAAATAAACACAACAGATGAGATCAGGTTGTCTTGTTTGTCATCTGTATGTAAGCATACTTTTCAAATAAGATCAATAACAACATGATAATATTTTCTTGAAAACTAACTTCAAATTAACACAAGAATTACTTGTTCGGTAATAACACATGTTTTATCAAGAAGTCAAACATTTAAAACGTAATTTTAAAAAATGTCTTAAAGGAAGGCACAAGTAACAGTGCCGAAACTAGAGTTGAAAGGCACTTGAAACTTCCTGTCAGAAGCGATGACACTTGTGGTCTCCAAATACGTGAAGCCTCAGCTGGTAGGGCTAGATAATAATCGTATATGCAGCCCACAAATTACTCTTTAACACCTACTGTAGACAAGGACCTCCCAATCTTATAATTGTCGTCAATAACCGAAGCGAGGGAGTTATGTCCCAAGGCTGGAATGAGTCAATTGGCAGCGCGAGTTGGCTACATCAAGCTTTGTTACAGGCGTGTGATTAGCGTGCCCCTACAGACACACAGACCCAATCAGGATTAACAACCTGGGCCATATCTGCCTGA